AATATTTCAGTTGGTGTGCAATGAATCTAAAATATATGAAAGTTAAATTTTTATCATTACATTATGGAAAATAATGAACTTTATCACAATATGCAAATTTTTTGAGAAGGACCTGTAGGTGAATAATAATAATAAACACCAAAACAAATATTATATGCCTTATAAGTGTCACATGCTGGTTGCAGCAGTAAAGAAAAGTTGGCAGGATCTAGATGAAGCTCCTTTTATTCGAAACAAAACATTCACAGCACTAGAACTAGAACCAGAACCAGAACCAGAACCAGAACCAAACAACCAACCTAATCTTGATGAGGACAGACAATGAACTGAAAGAAACACAGGGCTTAAATACAGGAGCAAACTAATTAACGATATGAACATCAGGTGAGACAGATAATCAAACCATGAGTAACGGAAACAAACTGAAAGCTAGGTCACAGAACAAAGACAAGTGATACACCCATCCAAAACAAACACAGATACAGCCTGACAATAAGGTTTTTTAATGTTTGGCCCAAAACATTTTGAGAACCACTAAACTAAAGCATTTTTAGAGATCTAAAGCTATCAAATTTGTTTTCATATCTGACTGACAGAAAAACGTGTTAAATGCAGAAGCTCACAAGAGGTTTTGTCATCCAGAAAGGAAGGAAAGTTATGATTACATAATACGAGTGACATAAAAATAGCAATATTTCTTCAAATGTGCACATTTTTGGACTAAATGCCCTAATGGATGTTGCTTAGTAATGATCAGCAATAAACTGGAGTAGACACGGTTGAATATCTTTGAATTTTAATACATGATTGATTTTGCATGTTAATTTTGCACTCCTGACATTTTTAGGGATCGAAAAGACCCAATACTGATTTGTTTTCATCATGAACGTAAAATGGTCTACTTAAAAGTAAACGTAAAACACAGTCAGTCACTTAATATCAAGTATTGAATGAGCTACTATCCAGCCAACTGACTAAATATGTGAAATCATAATGTACTAATTAATGTAAACAAGGAACAGAATGCCAATAATATAAGTCCAAATTAACTTTATTGTCATTCAGCAATCATACAGATGTACAAGAGACACACACACACACACACACACACACACACATATATATAGATTTACTAAAGGAGTAGGACATGCAATTCAAAAATGTTTACAAAGGAGGGAATAAATAACTTCAGCCTGCATTTAGACTGTATTAATTTTAGCTATGTGAATACAAAGAGAACTGAGTTTATATATATATATATATATATATATATATATATATATATATATATATATATATAAAAACTCAACTCAATAATGAGCACTCTTAATGAGTAGCATGCTTTTTCAGTTTGTAGCAAAACATCAAATTTAAGCAAAAACAAGCATTGCTTGTCAGGTTTTGTACTTTTGAACATGAGAGCTAGTCTTTCAATGTGACTTAATGATTTTTGTTCTTTTAACCTTTATCGAAGCAGCAACAATATGGAATGTTAAATATGTATAGGTGAAAATCACAATGGGCCTCATTTACAAAACAGAAAATTGGGCGTATGGTGGTTTTCCACGCAAAACTTGGCATTTATCAATATGGACGTGAGCGGTGGCTACAATCAAATCTCACGTCAGGTCTCAGCTTGTGTACACAAGTTTTTAAGTTATCGTGAACTTGCGTGGAGCATAGTAAATCTGGTGGAGATTTGTAATGAGAGCATTTTGTTCATTTTGATTATTTTCCTGACCGACAACCGAAGCTCATTAGTCGATCATTAACTTTTAAGATTAGAATGTCATATTAAAATTAAATTAAATTAGAATAGATGGGTGTCTGTGACCCATTTAAAATACCACAAATGTTTTCCCCAGGGCTTTAGCTTTATATGCGCAAATAGTAGCATAAACAACAGAACACAACAATTCACACAGTCACATCATGTGCTGAACTGATAAAAACAGAAATTAAGTATATAAAAGTAATCAAATAAATTAACAAATTAACAAAACTCTGCGACAGGTAGTATATGCTATGCTAACTTTTTGTGACACTAACACATTGTATTTGTTTTCTTTAGCCTATATCTTTATTAAATCCAACTGATCACACAGGCCCCTCACACACACATGCACAACATATCAGTTCTAGCGTTGCTAACTTGACATTTCAGCCATTCATCATCAAACTAAAATACAGTCAACCAAACATAAAAGTTACACTGCTCAATTTAAAAGGTCCACTGTAAAATCACCAGCGCCCAACCAAACACATTTTTGCGCATGTGAAAGATGCTGTTTTACGCGGATATTGGAACACGTGTGAAGCACAAAGCCTTGTTTACATAATATAGTTTAGCAACCCAAATGTAACATCGCAAATATGGAAACTTTTGGATTTTAAACTTTAAAGGTTTTTTTTGGACTTTAAAGGGGTCATGAAATGAGAAATCAAAATTCCCTTGATCTTTTAACATATGAGGTCATTGGCATTGCACTATAAAAACATCCTGTAAGTTTCAGAACTCAAAATGATCTTGTTAGTCCAAAAACAGCTACCGAACTACTGATTGTGGAATGTGCTACTTTATTACGTAATAGGGTAGCTAAACAACTCCTCTGCAGAAGATGATCCACTCCTGCTTCTACATCACTGCTTATTTAGCCCCGCCCACTGATTCGTGCATGCCATGCACTAAGTAATTAATGAGACGCAAACACGGGTCAGTGCAGAAACCAAATGGTAAAGATGGCTCTGAAGACGACAAGACGCTGTGGAGTTCCAAATTGTGAAACAACACAGCCTTTGCATTACCTTCCTTCTGATCCCAACATTAGGAAGGAGTGGATTAACTTTATTTTTAATGAAGGTCCAGACTGCGTCAGTAAGAACTTGGTCATTTGTTCACTTCATTTCACCGCAGATTTATTTACAAACAAGGCACAATTCGACGCAGGATTTTCAGAAAGATTCAAATTAAAAAACGACGCTGTACCGTATTTTGGATACGACAGTAATATTGCACCACACTGTGAGTAACTGTTTTTATTACGTGGTTACTACTGCCGTTATTCCGGCTGCCATTTCTCAACATCGGAAGGTTTAAAAACAATCCCACACGTGTACTGACGGGGGTGTTGAAAATGTTTAAATATGCAAAACTGTTGGCCAATCATACCAGTGGGCTTATACTTCCGAATCTACAATCCGCCACGCCTATTCAAACCATGTGTTTTGATGAGGGGGGTCAAAACAGTCCACTCCGAGGGGAGATATTTTATTTAACAATCGCCTTTTCAAGAACTACAACAAACGGCTCATTTGGACTACAACGTGATTTTTCCGGATCTTATGAGGTCACAATGGTACTCATTTAAATAATCCCCACCCACGGAATACACAGAAAAGGGGACGAGGCCTGGATGAACTGCATTAAAGAAGACAGTGTTGTCGCTATGTCAAAAAGACGCTGTTTTTTTTTCCACGTTTCCAAAACTCATTTGTTTGACCTTCCTAAGGCTGATGAACTTACGAGTGGTTAAAACTTGTTTTTAACACTGTTCCTGAACCTTATAACCCCAAATGTTTATCTGTGCGCTGTACATTTTATAGAGTACAGCTTGTTTTCTGTTGCTTTTGTAAGATGCTCCTTAGGAAAATTAACCATGGTTTTGTGATCGATTACTGTTTATATTACCTTAGTTTTCTGGTAAATATCATGTATCATAATATAATAACATCGTATCTATAATGTATATGAAAATTACTAAAAGCATACCACTCTGAAACGCCATGTAAAATCCATGCTTGCAAAGTCTATGCATGAAATCCGTTCAGCACAATCCTCTTGTACATTAACATTGTCAGGGTCTGAATCGGGCTCCAATTGGTTTTCGGCCTCCAATTCCTCCATGTCGTAAACTCTAGGGTCAAGGCTTCTAAACCATGAATTTTTAGGGACGTGATATTCAAATGACGATTGTTTTCAGCCACCGCATTTATCAACGTATGATGGGACTGGAGGAATACAATTTTTTTTCATGAATCACGCCCGTTTCACACATACTCCGTGTGCAGTGCGTATGCGGTGCGTGTTGCGGTGCGTATGGGGTACAGGAGCAGCACGCGCTATAGTGCTTTCACATATGCTGCGTGCGTTTGCAGTGCGCAACTGATCCGCGGCTGTACCACAAACACATTTACTCACTATTTGTATTTAAAAAAATCATCAATCAAATCAAGTTATCAGCAGCAAAAGTTTTTGCCTCCAGTGCAATTCTCTTTGTAGGCCTATCACGTTTAAAACACAATTTAAACAACGTATTATTCAATGCATTACTTTTATACAGGCCTAGATTATATATTAAGTTGCTCAAGCAAGTGGTAACATATTTAACCATGTACTTATATTAAAATCGCAAACATTTTAAATTAAAACCTAAAATTGACAAAAAACAGCAGACTCATACCTTTTCTTTTGCATAATTTAAATCTGTATACAATAAATCTTGCATGTCACAATTAACTTGTTTTTCCACCTCAACGAATGAGACGAGTGTCGTTCTTTATGTGGCCTTGTTGAAGTAAATTGTAGCTTTCTTTGCTTTACCCCGGTCTTAAAGTAAAAAGATGACTGTGAACAAAGTAGTATTTAATTAAATGCATTTATGGTTACATTTTATTTAATTAAATACATTTATGGTGAGATTACTACATTTTATTGAATTAAATGCATTTATGGTGAAATTACTACATATTCAGGTCAGTCTTTGTTCATTTTGACCACGAACCGTGCGCTGTCACTTTAATTCAGCGTTTGCAGCACAGCAAAAATAGACTCGGTGCGTAAACGATCTCTGCACTGCTGTATACGCACCGCAACTGGAACGGATCGACGGACCGCATCCGCGTGCAGTGTGAAAGCTCTAACCTGTTAACATGGGTACGGAAAAAAATACGCACCGCATACGCACTGCAAACGGAGTATGTGTGAAACGGGCGTTACACGTAAACCCTCTCGTGAGATGATTTCTGTGCTAAGATCTGCGCTCGTTTCTACGTTAAGATGGATAAATTCAATTTACAATTATTTGTATAGCGCTTTTCACAATACATATAGTTTCAAAGCAGCTTTACAGAAAATGCATGTGTCTACATGAGGCCCAATAGGATTTTCCTTCAGTTCCCTTCTTTGTTGGAATAGCACAAACATCACCATTAGGTAATTTAACCCTCTTAGATAAAATCCCCCTTTTGAAGAAATTCTACTTTTTGCTCTATATGAATATCACACTATTTGCTAATTACCGAAGACAAATTTTGCTCTCTTTGACTACTCTGGACAATGTTTTTGTCTGGGGTTTCTCCAGTGTGGGTCCGTTGGTGCCGCTTCAAGTAGCTTGCTCTGGTAAAAGCTTTACCACACTCAGGGCACACATGAGATTTCTCACTGGCATGTATTTTCTGGTGTGATTTTAAACTGCCGAGCAGTTTAAAACTCTCTCCACACAAAGAACATAAATAGGGTCTCTCATCTGTATGAAGTTTCATATGTGCCTTTAAGCGCGCTGCCAAAATAAACTTTTTGCCACACTGATCGCAACTAAATGGTCTTTCTTCAGAGTGAATGAGCAAATGTGTTTTGAAAGTGTTGCTCTCTGCAAACCTCTTGCCACACTCAGAACACTCATGTAATTTCTCTCCAGAATGATATTTCATGTGCATGTGTAGGCTTCTTTGAACTGTGAAGCTCTTCCCACACTCATGGCATGTGAAGGGCTTCTCTCCGGTGTGAGTTCTTATGTGTGTCTTAAGGTGTCCTTTACATTTGAAACTCTTTCCACACTGAGGGCATGTGTAAGGCTTCTCTCCGGTGTGAATTCTCATGTGATCTTTAAGCTGTCCTTTATGTGTGAAACTCTTTCCACACTGAGGACACTTGGAAGGCTTCTCTCCGGTGTGAACTCTTATGTGAATTTTAAGGTTTCCTTTGTGTGTAAAACTCTTTCCACACTGAGGGCACATGAAAGGCTTCTCTCCGGTGTGACTTCTCATGTGACGCTTTATGTATCCTTTATCGGTGAAACTCTTTCCACACTGATGGCATGTGTAAGGCTTTTCTCCAGAGTGTGTTTTTATGTGATTCTGAAGGATTACTTTACGAGCGAAACTCTTTCCACACTGATGGCACGTGAAAGGCCTCTCTCCAGAGTGAACTCTCATGTGACACTTAAGGTTTTCTTTATGTGTGAAACACTTTCCACACTGAAGGCAAGTTAAAGGGCTCTCTTCAGTGTGAATTCTTGCATGAATCTTTAGGTTTCCTTTATTGGTGAAACACTTTCCACACTGAAGGCACGTGAAAGGCTTCTCGCCAGTGTGAATTCTCATGTGACACTTCAGGCTTCCTTTACATGTTAAACCTTTTCCACACAGATGGCATGTGAAAGGCTTTCCTGCAGTGTGAATTCGTATATGATTTTTAAGGTATTCTCTCTGTGTGAAACTCTTTCCACACTGTTGGCATGTGAAAGGTCCCTCTTCGATGTGAATTCTCATGTGACACTTGAGGCTTCCTTTATGTGAGAAACTCCTATCACACTGAGGACATGTGAATGGCTTCTCTCCAGTGTGAACTCTCACATGACATGTAAGAGTGCCTTTACACGTAAAACTCTTTCCACACAGGTGGCACGTGAAAGGCCGCTCTCCAGTGTGAATTCTCATGTGACCATTAAGGCTTCCTTTACATGTGAAGCTCTTTCCACACAGACGGCATACGTAAGGCTTCTCTCCAGTATGAATTCTTATGTGATCATTAAGGTGTCCTTTGTGAATAAAACTCTTCCCACACAGATGGCATGCGTAAGGCTTCTCTCCAATGTGAATTTTTATGTGATCCCTAAGGTTTCCTTTATGTGTGAACGTCTTCTCACATTGAGGGCAGGAGAAAGAATTTTTGCCTTCTGTTGTTTGTGAGAAATTATTTTCAGATAGCGAGGAACTGAAAGATTTTTCTCCAACCATATAATCTTCAGGTTTCTCGAAATAGTGGTTCTCCTTGGCATCACTCGATTCTTGATTTTCCTCTTTCACTTCCATCTGGCCTAAAATGAACATATCACATGGTCAAAAAATCAGTTCAAAAAGGCGATACAAGAAACAAGTGAAGTCCTACTTAAAGAGATAGTTGACCCATAATTTAAGGCTACTCATCCTCAAGCCATCCTAAGTGTATATGACTTTATTCTTTCAGCCAAACACAGTCGTTATATTAATAAATGTCTAGGCTCTTCCAAGTTTTATAATGGCAGTGAATGGAAACTGAGATTTTGAAGGCCAAAAAAAAAGTGCATTCATCCATCATAAAAATAATCCACACGGCTCCAGGGGCTTAATAAAGGCCTTCTGAAGCAATGTTGGAGTGTCGTGAGCTTTGATGCCTCTCGCAGTTCAAACAAACAGGGCTGGGCTGTTTGTGAAGTCTTCACAGGGTTTTCTTTTGCTTTATCCTCTGCCCTTCCACATTCGTCAATACGTCATGAGTCGGGTCAGAGGTCACTCTTCAGCCAGAACTAGACTTGCGTACGGCCGTACCAGAAGCCAGTGATTATAGTTTATAGTTCTAAATATGTGACCCGTGCTGGCAAATTGAGTCGGAATGCGCACGGGATAATTTCGAGCTACAAGTGAAAGATCGTCTAACGATCCCAATGCTCCAAATAGCAATTAAACATCTATAAGTATCTTTATTTGTGCATTTTTTGACAGGAGTACCTTTCTTTTGTCCATGGAAAAAGCGCTTCTCGCGCTTCCCCTCAGCACAAGTTTGGTATCGTTGTAAAGCGCTGTATTCCAACTTTGTTGATATTCATAGCGAATTCTCAATGGAATGAGTCTAAACCATAGACTGTAAAAAAATATGGACGTAGAGTCCGTGACGTCACCCGTAGGTTTCTGAAGAGCGTTTTTGAAGCCTAAAGTGGGCGTGGCCGGCCGTCGCCATCTTGGCAGCGCGTCACCTTTCGTCACTCCCGGATAAAATAAAATGGGCAAAGAGGCGGGACGTGGGTGGAGCTGAGGTGCTAATGCTATATGCTACTGGCCTCGCGCTAAAGTGACAGCTGATTGAAGAAGTAAGGCCAATAGTTAAAGGTCATGTTTTTCCCCTCCGAAATATTATAATAGTTAAAAGACGTAACTAAAAGTGAGACTGTGTATCGTGATGTATTATTATTCTGCTATAAAAATGTATTATCATTAAAGATTAAAATTTCATCTTTTAATATTATTTTATTATTAAATATGATGTATCTGTATTATTCTTCTTTATTAATATTCATAATCAGTTGTATTATCTTATGAAGTTTCAAAAGCATGAGTTTGAATGCATGAGGGAACTATAGATAGCATGGATCCATGAGATGATCATATGTCAGACAGGGGGAAGCTATATTTTGCTAAGGGGTGTGTACAATGTAACATGTTCCACTGATGTAAGTGTATCACAGATGTAAACAACAAGGATAGTTCTCAATATGGAAGTGAATTGTGACATGTTAAACATAACGTGTTCGTATGACATACGTTCTAATTTTAAGAAGCTCAGAGCAACATGTTTTGTTTCCTTACAAGGAAGCTGTAAGACTCTCTGTGATGTATAAAAGCTCAATCTTACTGTACAACTACACGGAAACGCATAGACCTGGCATGAATATAACATCTTCTCAAAGTTTCTCTCCTGACATATAAGAATAAAAATCTTTCTTGGCAAGATAACTGGTGTCCGGTCCGTAAATCAAATAATAACGGGGAAACAAAAGAGGCTTTAATTCCAAGTCTACAATCATGCAGTAACTTACAATATTGCTCTGAGCTTGTGCATGTGACAGTGATTCATGCGCATACATGTCAGTCAGCATGGCATCGCTCGTCAAGTTCGTAAAGCTTTATTCAGTCCATTTTATTCAGTCCATTTTAAAATCTGATTTTGGCCGCCACTCAATTTCTCAAATGGGTTAAACCAAAGATATTACCTCAGAAGTTCAAGTAAATGCAGTAGAAATCCGCGCTCATTCAAGGGTGTGCATCTAACGTTACAGCATGGACGGAGAGCACTGACACCTGCAGGATTTCATCTGACGGTACTTTTTATTTAACCATAAAAAGTTAAATAAGCATATCTGTTCCGTGAGAGCAACGGTACCGCATAACGAGTGTGGTCTCTATATCTACAGACGTTTTTAGCAACAAAATTGTCAGACATCCATTAACGTTAGTGCATACGAGGAAAACAACTGAAAATACAGCGCTGGTTGTTCTCTCCATACTCGACAATGACGGAATCCAACGGCGTGGGCGAAGGTATAATGCGTGCATTAAATTGTATGAAATAATCCCGAAAAAAGCACAAACATGGCAGAGATGGCAAGTCCAGGAGCTGCTGGAATTAGCTGAGAGTGACGCTAACAGACAAACGGCTAGCAGTTACAGCAGCCGCAATCCACCTGTCACTCAAGTGGCCACGCCCTTAATTATGCAGGCTTAATATAATTTAAACGGATGAGTTGTAAAAAAAATTTACCCCCCCTCACAGTTTTCATGAAGGGCAAAATAAGCTATAAAGACCAAAACCCCTTTTTGCTCCAGGCTGTAAGCATGCTTTTTTTCTGCTGTGAAGTTGGGCATTTTAACATGGGGGAAATGCAGATTTGACTCACTTTTGCAGCCTGCCTCAAGCGGTCAGTAGATGAATTGCAGTTTAATTCACTTCCGTGTTGGTTTCAAGAGAGACACAGGGAGGTTGCCGCTTGGTCTAAACCAATAAAATGTGATTTTCTGAAACTCATGTTGATGTAAACAAAAGAATCTTACTCGCACAGACTGACAGAGCCGAAGCGTGCGCACAAAGACTCCTCAGACAGCGCGCGATCCCGATACACACACAGAATTACAGTATTTCAAAATATCTGTCTTGGCGAGTATTCACGCAAACATTATCTGCTATGTCTTAAATAAACGTTTGGTTAACTGTTGGGAAAAAAACCCATCTGATGTGTAACATTACATCCGTGCGGTACAGCAGGTCTGAATATATAGGCTGTCTGTTAAATAAAATGTTAAAATAAATACAATCTTAATCAAACAATTGTGCAATCATGGAGGGAAAAAGTTGAATATATGTTTTTCCTATAGGATTTTTGGTTTTGACTTGCTGTGTGCCAAATTTTGTGTTATCACCACCAGGGATTTTTAAAGGTATGGTTGCTAGGTGGTGACTTTGTTTTTGAAGTTGAACCTTCAAAAAAACTTTAAATCACTTTTCTGACTTCAAACAGGTTCAGCTCAGTCATTTTTATTATTGTAACAAATCATAGACCATGAATTTGAGGGTTTTTAATAGAGAATGTGAAAATAACCATAAATCATTTTTGAAAATTTGCTCATTCCGACTCCTTTTGCCAGCATGGGTCACATTATAGATATTTTTCTTACAAAAAAGCATGGCATCACTTCAGAAGGCCATTATTAACCCACCGGAGTCATATGGATTACTTTAATGATGAATGCACTTTTTTTGGCCTTCAAAATCCAAGTTACCATTCACTCCCGCTATAGCTAAAGTTTGGAAGGGCCAGGATATAATATAACTCTGATTGTGTTTGGCTGAAAAAAAAAAAGTCACTTACACCTAGGATGGCTAGACGGTTAGTAAATTATGGGATAATTTAAACATTTTTAAGTGATCTTTAGTGTGCTAAAAATTAATTCTGACATTCTCGTGTTAACAAGATGAAATCTGCAAGATTAACCTACTATGATATACAGTGTTACTATACTATGTCAGAATCAGAATGTGTTTTAATTCTTATTTTACCTCTTTTTAAAAAATTTAATTCTGATGAATTTTCTAAAGCTTTAAGCTATTACTTGTATTACTTTCTGTACACTGAAGCCTCATATGTCGCTTTGGATATTATGATGTCATGTTGCAAATGCATAAATGCAACAAATGTAATTTAATGTTCCTCAACAGTCCTTAATCGGGAATCAAGAACGGACACCAACCTCTTTGTTCCTCAGTATCATCTTCATCTTTCACTCTGCAGGGTTCAGGATCATTAATGTCCACAACCTCCACTTTAATCAACTCCATCTCTCCAGCAGTGTGTCAAGCAAGATCTCAGCTGTTTGGAAACCTGCGTGCCTGGAAACTTTTCTTTGTCACGTTTAAGTGGGAAAAATCGATAGAGACACGTTAAACATACTGTTCCTCAAGTGTGGATGCGCTGTGCATAGAAAAATAAGTCATACATTTTTGCGCTATTTACGAGCCTCATCTATGGCTACAATAATGGGGCTCAACATTTCCAAGACAAAATGCCTTAAGTAATATTAACATGCTGTTGGAACACATTTGATAAAAACAACTTTAAAACAGGTATACACCTTTAAACACCTTCAACGCTTAAGGGGTTTAAAACACAAACCTTTCTTCAGTCAAAAAAACAGCAACCGTCGCGGCGCAGACCTAATGATGTCATCGGTGGCAAAATAAAAGACAGCTTAAACGGTCCAAAATAAAACTAGACAAATACAAAAAAAAAAAAAACATAGATTTAAAATATACACAATTAAACGTAAATTATGTAATATACATGTTGTGAAGTTATATGAATGTAAATCCTACGAATGAAAGTGTATTGATCCAATTCATTACATAAAATACCTAAAAGAAACGATTTTATTAAATTAAATGATTATTAAAGTTGTTTAGGTGTAAATTATTGATCAGTACCACCGCTTGCTGTACATCCACTCTAGGAACTGAATGTTTAAGTGATAAAAAGGGGGCAGTAAATATCAGACGGACCTGCTTCCTGTTTTGAAACTGGTTGCTTGTTGCTCATGAAGATGGTGATGAAGAAGATGGTGATGAAGAAGATGATGATGATGTCAGTGTCAGTGTGTTCTGTATAGACCCCCCTGCCTCAGACAGGATGGCCGTGAGCTCGGGCTGCAGTAGCACGGTGTTGATGTCGGTGCGGGTGTCGGTTCGGCCGCTCAGTGTGGGCTCGGATTCACTGCGGCTGCAGCTCAGCATGAACGCGAACCGCGCGGGACTCTTCACGCTCACGCTCAGACACACCGACCGCGGAGGACGCAGCGTGGTACACACACACACACACACACACACAGACAGAGCTGTCATTTGCTATCCTCACTTAATACCATCTGATTAGTGCTGTCTTGTCCACCTGTCAGCTGTCAAGTCTGTCATTCAACCTTGTTTGAACACTACCCTCGTGTAGCTATAGTCCTTTGAAAATATTCCGAGTTTATTTGATATTCAATAATTTATCATAAAAAAAATAACCATGAGCAATTTTATGTTCATATAAGCTGTGACGCAAACTTTCCTGTAACATAAAAACATACTTAATAGCATTACAGTCAAAATGATTCAACCCCACAGAGACTGTAAATACAAATGTATGGTCTTCTAAAGATCCAGAGTTTGAAAAAAAAAAAGATCTGTCATTAATTATTCACCCTCATGTCATTTCAAACCCTTAAAGACTTTTCGTTCATCTTCAGAACACAAATGAAGATCTGGATGATGAAGTCTGAGAGACTTCATTTCTGTCCCTCCATTGACAGCTACGCAACTACCACTTTGACGCTCCAAAAAAGTTCATAAAGACATCGTAGAACTAATCCATATGAATTTAGTGGTTTCGTCCAAATTTTCTGATTGCTTTATTATATGATGAACGGATTGAATTTGGCTTTATTCTTTGAAATCAATAGCCTTATCATCTTCATGTAATGAATCTGTGAAAACAGTGTGAATAATGCAGCGTTTTTAGTCGTTTTCGCGGATACGTCTGAACGGGGATCATTTTGACGTCTCTACAAAGAAAAAACGTTTTCGTTTGTAGTACATCGATGTCGTGTTAACCCTAAGTGTTTTCATAATGCATGTTTGAAATTGGTTCCCAAAAATAATGTTGAAAGAATAATTATGTTTTTCCCTGCATTAAGTGCTCTTCGTTTGCATTTACATATGTTTTTAACACTAAAACATTTAACTTATTTTGTTTCGCCAAACTGCCTTGTGGCATATTGACGATTCTGTGAGACTGATTACTCCTCAGAAAGTAAAGGCTGGATCGTCTTGCATCACTAAAGGAGCATCTGTTACACATGTATCATAACATGTATGCTGTTACCGGTCTCTGTCACTAAAGGGTTTCTGATGAGCTGTTCTCTCTCTCTCTCTCTCAGTCTCTAGCAGAGTTTGATCTACGCTCAGTGAAGTACGAGATCACGTCGACTCGATGTCACGAACTGCGTCTCACCAAGCCGCCCCACGACTGTCTCACGTTTACCTTCCGCAGCGAACAGGAGGCCCAGGAATGGGCAACTGTCATGATGTCATCACTGAGGGAGACACACAGAGGTCAGAGGTCACCGCAACATTTAACACTATAAAGCTACTCTATCATTTTGGATGCCTCTAATATAAACATGATCGACTTTGTTAAAGAGAACCTGTTGCACGTGATCTACTACATGCCATCTGTTCCCTTATTGATAGTTCATACTTTTTTAGCAAGTAAAAGGCCATTTAGTAATTAAATTAATTAATTTATAAAAGACCCCGTTCAGGTTGTGATACACGTGTCTTTTTGCTGTGAAATCTTAAGTAAACGTAAGAATCACTTCGATGTTGTTACTGTAGTTATATTTCAAGATCAACACTTACTGGACCGAAGCAACTTAGCCTCAATTACATGCAATTCATTTTAAAACATATTGTATGATGGAGAAAGCTCTCTGATTACGCCATGTTAGCCACTTGACAAAATTGTCTCTGAAGTAAAAACATGGTACTTGTGGTAAATCAAGAAAACAAGCGATTTAAACCGTGTTAAAAATCCGAGGGTCGAGGGAAATCGAGGGTTATACGGAATTACGGATATGATGTCATTGACAGGCGACGCAAGGATACGATCCGCGTCCTGATTTAAATTGCTGATTTAAACATTGTTGGAAACGTTTGGGATAGTGCAAGTACACTAGTCAACTAAATATATTTGTTCTAGTGATTTTTGGATATTTTAATCCTAAAAATCGTACATATTGTGCCTTTAACCATTAATGTTAATCAAATAACAAAAGAAAATCACTCACTGAATTTGACAGAATAACTTTTGTAACTTTAATTAGCCTAATCTGTATTTTATTTGCCTGTTGTTCGGCGCTGACGGCTCTAAAGACAACGTGCGTCTGTGTGTGCGACTATGCTTTGGAGATGAGTTCCCTATCAAACATCAATTTTACTTACTTTCCTAATAAAATATGTTTTTCTTGATTACACATCTTGATTTATGCAATTTATTTTGTTCTGCAGGCGAAACAGTGAAACTAATCCTATAAATTCGAAATAACAGTGATATCTCCCATTTTTTTAAAATAATAATACAATATAAAATAATAATAATATTATTACGTTTTTTATTTTGGTCTGCAGTCTAATAAAATTTAATCAGATATTTTTTGTATAAAATGGTAGCAGTAACTGCGCCTGTTTCTGAATATTAGTTTAAATAGTGTACATAATAAACAAATCACAAACATGTCCATTGAAATCAATATGATTTTATATACAATTTAGTTATATTGCAAACGGATTAAGAAATTACGGTACTTTGAATATCTCATGCACGCATTCTGAGTTTATAGCGTTATACTTTGCTGTAGATTCAAAAAATAAGAAAATAAAATACACAAAAAATCATTTTTAATTACTTCTATTTCTAAATAATTAAAGCAGTCATTTATTTGTGATAAGCGGCTTAAGGAGACTCTAACCAGAAAGAAAAAAATAGCTTTACCGTTTTTGCTCACTCAGAACAAACCAATTCGTTTTTAATCCCTGATTTTAGACAGATAATATACAACATAGCTTGAATGCAAGTTTAAAAACAGCACTACACGTTATAATTAAGGAAATTCAACTTATCATCATTAAATGTCTACTCATGTGATAATGCCCAAAAGAAAGAGAAACATCGGACTCATTGCTATGTGACATCATCATGCATTTATCATTCGTACAATCACCTTCACCGTGAACTTGGGTTCTGTTGTTCAGTTGTATTCAACTGTTCTCCTCAGTCCTCCTCACAAAACGAAATTCATTGCAAACACAAATTCTATAAGAACATTGTGGAAATTATTAGCAACACTAACATAACAGCAAAGCTAATGTTTTATATTAGTTTAAGCTCTAACTAACCAAAGTAAAACTTTAACGTTTCAACTTTAAATTAAACTCACTGAATCGCAGGATATCATTAGATGAAGTGCAGCCAAGCTCAACATGACGCGTGTTCACGGTGTATGTCGGGGCCGGGGCTCGAAGAGACGATATAATCCAACATCGTGATACTTTTCAAGGCGATTATCGATCAAATATTTGTATAGAGCTCATCAAATATAGTAAATGGAGAAGCTCAAGTGTGCTTGCCTGACGTGTGAGACATGATCTCTGAAGATTGATCACCCCATTATTATTCATAAATCTCAAAACAAGATCAGAGAGCTCATCAAATCAACCCCTCAGACTTCAAGCCCTTTTAAACTCCGATATCTTAAATACATGGCAAGCGAAATGGGAATAATGTGAACACACACGAAACATGCCAGATGTGCTTAAGCTTTCTGCCTGTTAAATGATTTTCTAAATCTTATTCTTAAAGATGGACTCTGCTCTTGCTGTGGCTCATTGTTCATTCACTTTTTTTTCTGTCTCAGTTGCCAAAATGTCGCATGCCTCACATGATGGACTGCAGTATATGAAGTGTGAAGAGAAAAACTCTGTCTTGTCGCTGTCAATGAAAGGTTCGTTTTCTAAAGGGAGAGTTGACTGGGTGTAGGCTTGATCCTTTCTTTAGTTCCGCCATTGTTGTAGACACAAAATAAACACTTTTGTGGCACTGTGCACCCTATTCATTCATGTTTGAGTGAGTAGCATTTGTGTATCTGCATCAGAGTAAAAAGTGCATTAAACTGGCCTCAACCTTTCAAACCACTTGACAAATCAGATTTCAGATTCAGGAACAATAGATCTCATTTACTATAGATCAATAACAATATAATATAATAACAGTAGATCTCTCAGGGTTTCTGCAGGTCTTAAAAAGGTCATAAAACGTCTTAATTCATCCTTCCCCAAATTAAGGCCTTAAATAAATCTTAAATCAGAGCAAAAAGTCTTAAATTGCTAAAGTTATGGCATTAAATGTTGCATGCACTGCAAACGATTAATATATTCCTCAGTATTTTTGTCTTGTTTTTTCAAAACATGTTATTTCATTATTGAATCAAGATATAAAACTTTATTAAATCAAGACGTATATGCAAAATGAAGATAAGAAGTCTTGTTTTCTGAGAAATTGAACCAAAATATGTGAGTTTACACTTGAAACAAAAGCAAATCTGTCAATGACCAATGAAAACTTTTTTTCCTTTTGAATTTGAATTTTTTCTGAGCCCGTTGGCAGATATCTGTTCTTGTTTTAATCATAAACTCATTTTAATCAGTTTAACTGAAAACAAGACTTCTTATCT